CAGTTTCGAGGTCAAATTTCCAACCATGGTATGGACATCTGACGCACAAAGACTTCCCAGGAACATCTTCAATGTCACCAACATGCAGCGGACCACCTTGTAATGAGTATCGTTAGTAAGCATAGTTTTACCCGACCTGTATTACTCCAGAATTTTATTACTTACATTTGCAGGAAAATGTGAATGCATTTCCTACAGAAAATGTGAATGCATTTCCTACAGGAAATGCATGCACTTGAACGTAGATATGGCAATTTGTAATGCGATTACTTTTTCACAAACACAACAGATAACTTCAAAACATGAAAAAATAAATAAATAAATATAAGGAAATTTTCTTAATAACCTGTTAGCTTACCTGCATGCGGGCAGTGTTCAGAGATGGCATAAACAACATCTCCATAACGGAAAAGAGCCACATCTTGTTCATTTACTTTAACTAGGCTTCCAGCTCTGTTTATAAAAAATCATTATCTTTATATCAAATATATCATGATTATTTGCATGTGTGTGGGCATATGTGATTGTGCACATGTAATTCATAATACATTAATATCTTTATAAAATCACCATTATATTTTTTCATTTTCCTGAGTTATAATACTTGCTACTAATTCAGACAAATATCATCCAGATGTCTTGATCTTTTTTTTCTTTTTTTAGGGGGGGGGATAGCTAATTTCAATGTTATTGAACTCTGACCTAAGGGATGATTTTCTGCTTGGTGATCTTGACAAACGAGGAGATGACTGATTCTTCACTTTGACCATTGTCCTGTTGACTACTGTGCCACGGGAATCATTATCTTTGCAAGCCCAATCATACAGATCTGTAAAATACAGAATTACTTAGACATCTTACTGACCAAATTGGAAATAATTGGAGTTCTGTAAATAGTTACACCCAGGCTGGCCATAATCTATTTTTGAAAAGACAAGGGTTATAGAAACGGATCTGTTTCTACTTGATGATATTTTTTCTTGGAGGCACAGATCCGGTTCTTGATCCTATCCTATCCTAACCTAACAGAACCAAAAGGAACCGAACCGAACCGAACCGAACCGAACCGAACCTAACCGAACCTAAGCCAAGCCAAGCCAAGCCAAGCCAACCCATTATTAATATTAATATCATTATTAATATTAATAATAATAATAATAATAATAATAATAATAATAATATTAATAATAATAACAACAACAACAATAATAATAATAACAATTACTCCCATGATCATTATCAATATCAATATCAGTACCAATATCAATGTCATTATAATTTTCATTATCATCATTACCAATTCTATTTTACACTGCAATTTAAAGTCAAGATGATAATGAATACAGAAATATAGTGCTTGTAGCAGCTGCTTCAACCTTCATTTTTTGGTGGAAAAAGACTGGAAATGTTTTGACTGTAGACACCAACCAGACAAAACTAGCCAAGGTCAATAGTACGTGTTGTCGCATTCTGCTTGTGTATTACGTTTCCTATCTAATAATCTAAGGTTTCCCTATCTTATGAACCCACACAGCAGAAGGTATTGATTGTGATATATATATTGTACATTGCAGATTTACAATACACCCTAGCTATTTATTGTCATATAAAAAAGCCAAAGCTTTATCTTGCTACAATTACACCGCAGAATTGAAACACACAAACAAATTTACACTTTAACAATTTAAGATCATATGTCACAATACAATGGATCCCATCACATAAGAGCATTTTAGGCAAAGAAATTGTAGACCTTGCATCAAAAAAATCTCATGAATTGGAGGATTCCACAACCATAACCCAAATCACCAACAACATATGAAACAGAATACATAACAATTAATAATAAAGGAAATCCTTCAGACAACAGATAGTAGACTCCAGCTACCAATATCCAGTGAATATAGACTAAAATATAGTTTAAAACCCTATAAGAGAAGAAAGAAGAAGAATTGAGCTTAGTATAAAATTAGCAATTAAGTGTGGATAGTGTTACATTTCAGAAAGCCACACAGAAAAATTGTAAAGGTCTTTAACCCATTTATTGGCCTCCAAGAAATCCAAGAGAGACAAGAACTGGTGATTCCTGTAAGATGTACAAAAAAAAAGAAAAAAAAAAGAAAAAAAAAAGAAAAAAAAATTGGTATGTACCAAGCAAGTTTTTCAAATACCAAATACCTATACATCAAAATACACCAGTGACAATAAAAAAGGGATACATACGCCAGCATACAAAATTTCGAAAGAGCTCTCCACAACAGATCATTGGTGGCAAGGGCCCTGATTCCAGACTGGGCAAGAACTCTTGCAAGAATATCAAATATACAACTGCAGCTGAACCAAGTGAATGTAAGCAATCCTGGGTTTGGGATTTTGGGATTAACAGCATTGTTTATATCTATCCATATTGGTTAACTTCCAACTGTATATTTTCTTAGTAGATATGAATTCAGGAGTAGTAAGAGGCTATCACCCACATATACAAACAACATTCCATAAAATCTCTACAGATCATTTACCAATTACAACAATCATTCCAAAATGCAAGATCATTCAAACTCACTTTTCCCAATAGATGGCATGCTACTGGACAACTTTGACAAAGTTTGTTCTTGTACTTGATTTGAGTTTCACATAACATGAAAAAATACCAGAAACAGACTCAGAGTAAAGGAAAATGTTCATCAACAACGAAAAGAATGTCACTCATCACCATGATATTGTCTTGCTGGCAACAAATGGACGTTTTCACAAAAAATCATTAACCCATTGGCGCCGGGTGTCACGTACGTACATGCCATGACTGTTGTGGACCAAACGCCGGGGGCATCATGCCATGCCCATTCCCGCGCTACTGGCTTGTCAGACGGAGGTTGTTTTTCTCCACTAGTAGTGGCTTCATTTATATGGTAAAGGTTTTAGGCAATGGCACCTAAAGTGAAGGTAAACCTTCAAAATTTTAATATTTTTATAAATTTTTAAAAAATAAAAGCTTTTAGGTGCTATATGTCACTCGCAAACTACCGATCGTGCCGGGCGCAAACAGGGGAAACTGCCAGTACGCCAACAAGCCGGTGCATACGTAAACTTGACAAAATTTTTACCCGTCGCTGATGGGTTAAAATCAATGCTGTTCCTGAGTTATAGAAATGCAACCCCACAGCTAATATTAAGACTCTGAGCTTACCAAGTGGTAGAACACATCAATCTATGAAAGTTTTCTTCTATACCATTTTCTGCGCAAATTGATAATAACGGTATTATAAAGGGTATAAAATCCACGATATCCAGGAGCTGCAGTGACCTTCCGCCTCCAGCGCTGCAACAAGATGACAAAAAGTCGTTAAGAGTGACGAAAAGTCTGATGGATTTGTAGCGGATGATGTATGCGAGGGAAATCAAATGAGACAATTAGATTCATTCATGAACATGACGTGACCATAGACATTCAATAGAACCCATCAGATATGGAATAGATCATCATGTGACAATAGAAGTTGGGCCTAGGAGAAGGCTGTTGAAATTCAAATCAGTTTAATCATGGCTACACAGTGTGCAGGTTGTGAGAACAATTATTTCGACTTTCTTGCAATATATCATCGCAATAACGAAGCTAGTTTGCAATATATATGAGATCAAGGTGTTCTTCCAGTGGAAGTACAGTGCCATGTCATTATCGAAAAGACAGACACCAGTGGGTTTGTGGTGCGTGCAACCTCATGGTAAGCAATTACAATAGGACATTTATCTCAGGAACTAGACTTGAACCCTATCAAATACTCCCGTTCATCAATCACTGGCTAAGCAGACACTGGGATCATCAGACAGTTACAGAGCGCCTCCATATTGCCGAGCGCATGAGTGTGGACTGGCAAAGCTTCTGCTCCGAGGTCACAGACCACTGGCTAGACAATCAGGAATCCATAGATGGACTAGGAATTGTAGTGGAACTTGACAAGATACTCTTTGGCAAGCGTAAATATGAGAGGGAAAGGCTGCTGAGCCAGATATGGGTGTTCCACTGGATTGAGCGCGTCAGCAAGAAGGTCTTCCTTGTCTCCCTTGTTGAGCCCCTGGGCAAGAACTGTGATGCTGAATCATAATAAAAAGTATATTCTCCCCCAGTCAGTCATTATAAATGACGGATGGAATGCATACCAGATGATTAGTGAACACAGATAAGAACATCAAGTAATAAACCACATGGAACATTTTGTGGATCCCGAAAACCCGGAGATCCACACTCAGAACACTGAGTGCTTGTGGCAAGACATTAAAGAGTGGAGCAAGTGACCAGATAATTGACAGGAATTCTATAAACAATACTTGGCTCGGTATCAGTTTCTCCACCAATACAAGCCGGAAGTACTCCACCATCACTTCTTCATTGAGGCCAGGAAGCTGTACCCTCAGCTGTCCGATAAGGAACAGTGGATAGCGATCTCAATTCCCGCCAATAATGACGTGGATAACCCCAACGATCCCAGTGACCCGCAGCCTGGCCCATCTGGAGTTAGTGCATACTATAATTGCTAGTGTTTTACCAATATTTCTCAGAATTACCCCCATTATATCCTAGGTATTTTCTATATTACCTTCACCTCTCCGATATAGACAATTTTGGTATCACTGGATTCCTCTCACTCTGTACAATCCAAATATGTAGGTTTAATTGCGCAGAAACACCCCGTTAGCGGCAAACTTGGCCCCGATAGCAGGGGCGACGATGTCAGAGCGGCGGACGTAATATAGAAAATTACCCTAATAATATAACCCACAGTGAAAATAACCATGGTTATTCTCATGAATTTCCCCCCTGGGGCAGGGCTGCCACCCCCCAACCCTCGCCGAGGAAACAAAACCTCCACCACGTATTCACAGCAGCATAGAGCGCACACGAACTAGATGCATTGAAAGAGGTGCAAGAAACGAGGCAACGAGGGCGGGCCACCGCCGCTCGTATGTTCATGGCATACCTTGTTCATCCTTATTAAACTACAATCGTCTCTGTATATAATGCTATGTCAAGGTTAGTATGCTGATTCAGTGGTAATATTACAAGGTAAATGTAATACGTCCGCAGCTCCGAGATCGACGATAACTGTGTAATGCTCTACCCTGCCATGAATACGTGGTGGAGGTTTTGTTTACTCGGCGGGGGTTGCAGGGGGCACAGCCCCCTGCAATGGAAAGTCATGTGAATAACCATGGTTATTTTCTCTATGGGTTATATTATTAGTGTTATTCAACCCCGCATTTTCCCTGGAACCTTTCATGCCCTCCACTGCTATCAGGGCCAAGTTTGTCACTAACGGGGGGTTTCCGCACAATAAAAACTATATATGTGCAATGTGGACAGTGAGAGGAATCCAACGATACCAAAATCGTCGATATCGGAGAGGCGAAGGTAATATAATAAATTACCATTCCCTAATATATGCCGTCCCCTACTATCAGGACCAATATTGCAGTTGTGCTTCATTTGCTAAGGAAATGAGTGCTAGATTCATTCGACACACGACAAAAGCTATTGGAAAATTATTTCATATGTGTAAAAAATTCTGTGGGATTGCATTTCCAAATTTACAGAAAGGTATTTACTTAAATTGTTTACCTTGGGGCCATTGATTTTCGATCTTTAATCAACACACATAACCATCCACTATATAAATTTCATATGAACGAGAGCTTTGATAAAGATGACCAAGCATATAATGCCAGACATACACTAGACGTAAACAAAGGCATTTGTGATGAAATTGCCTGGTATAAGAATGCCAACTTTTATTCTTTCACCAACACATACCATTCAGAACCAAATGATCATTCTATACTAACCATAAATAGTAAGATTATGAACAGGGAAGAAATATACTTTTTCATACGTTTCCATTCTTTCTACAAATATATTCCGATATGCATATTTTCAGCGGGACATTATTACTTCTTTTGCTTCATTTATAAGGTTTTAGACTGCCATTCCAACTTGCGTCGCAGATTGGCCATCGCTCCTTTCTCCGTCTGTTTGTTTACATCGCCAACGGGGATACGAACCTACTTTTGCTTTTTGAGGTGACATTTCCATAATTTATTACATTAAACAAGATACTTTTATTTGTTGTTTTCCTAAAATCGTCTTGACATGTTACATTGTTTATAAGCCAGCCTGGAATATCTAGAAATTGAAGGAAGGTTGGGTACATGCACAAAAATATTCTAGAAACCGCATTAGCAAGGGCGTCAATTCAGCTTTTTCTTGGTATTGGGGGGTGGGGATGCTGGCGAGGGAAGTGAGCACAATCAGTTTCCAGCGCGCTGCGATCCCCCCACCTCGAGATTTATTTTTGATTAGCCATTCTAAGAGCAATTTTACTCTGGTTACTATGCAAAGTGCGCGCGTGGATGCCCATTCATCATCATCACTGCGGAGCTGACGCCGACGGGGACGCATAGCCGCATCCACCCTTTGCTTGTACCTGCGAGGATCCCTCATGGCAAGTCGCCAGGCAGGGACTCAGCAGGTTTGATCGCTCTGCCCAAGCCATGACTTCCTAGGTCGACCCACAGGCCTCTTCCACCCAGGGCTGTCTCGAACAGAGACAACCTGGTGGGCGGGATCATCCTGAGGGAAGCGAGCTAGGTGGCCGTAATGCCTGAGTTGGCGATCCCGGATTGTGCAGATTACAGGGCTTGTGCCAGTCTTACGGTGTAACCGTTGGTTGGACACATGGTCCCGCCAACAGTACCCCATGATCCGGCGCAAGAACCTATTACAAAAGGCATGAAGTCGAGACTCCAAGGCGCAGGATAGTGTCCATGTTTCACTACCGTATAGCAAAACTGGGACTATCAGGGCCTTGAAAACACGAAGCTTGGTCCTTCTGCACAGGTACCGGCATCTCCAAATACTCTTGTCGAGAGAGTTCATGACCCCTGCTGCCAGGCCAATCCGTTTGCTGACTTCATGGTCTGACAGCCCAGAGTTATGAACTACACTACCAAGGTATGTAAAGCTCTCTGTGACTTCGATGTCCTCGCCGCAAGCACGTACCGACTGAACAGGTTCTCCTAATATGTCCCAAAAGTCCTGGATCTTGGTCTTGGTCCAGGAGACCTCTAGACCCAAGGGCTTTGCTTCATTACTAAATGCATCAAGAGTCACCACTAAGGATTCCAAAGACTCAGAATGGCATCATCATCAGCAAAGTCAAGGTCGGTAACCTTGACATTGCCCAGAGTTGCTCCACAATGACTTTGAACAGTAGCTCTGCCCATTATCCAGTCCATGCAAGTGTTGAAAAGCGTTGGTGCAAGGACACAGCCTTGCCTCACTCCTGAACTAACAGGAAAGAAGCTTGACAGGCCCCCACCACACTTTACAGCACTTTCAGTACCAGTATACAGACTTGCTATTAGTCCAATAATCCTTGTTGGAATTTCTCTCAGTCTCAAGATCTCCCAGAGTGATTCCCGATGCACCGTATCGAACGCCTTCTTGAGGTCGATGTAGGTTGCAAGCAGCCCACGCTCGAACTCACGACGACGCTCTATAATGACTCGAAACGCTAGGATACGGTCTATTGTGGACTTACCAGGAGTGAATCCAGATTGCTCCAGGCTCTGATGCCTCAGTAGGTGATCTCTGATACGTCTCAGAAGGATGTGGGCAAGAACCTTGCCTGGTATACTGAGCAGTGTGATGCCGCGGTGATTGCTCCAGTCCCATCGGTCCCCCTTCCCCTTCCAGAGAGGGATGACCACACCCTTCAACAGGTCAGAGGGGACGGTACCGGACCGCCCGCCAAATGGCAGCCAGGACGGCATACAACCCCCGTGCCATAGGTTTACCACCAGCCTTTAACAGTTCAGCTGGGATGCCGCATATACCAGCTGCTTTACCACTCTTCAGCTTGGAAATCGCCCCCCTAACTTCGGTTAGGGAGGGAGCATCCTCACTGATGGGTGGGTCCAGCAACAGAATCTCGGCACTACCCGCATCCAAGTTAACTGTTGGTGGGTCAACCTGATACAGCTGCTCGAAATACTCAGCCCAACGTTGCCGCACCGCAACAGGATCTGAGATGATCTGACCACTGACTGAGCGAACTGCTGTCACCTGTGAAGAGGGCTTGGAGTTCAGCTTTCTCAGGGCTTGGTATGCAGGACGAAGGTCATTTACTAAGAAATGGCCTACCTCCTCAGCAAGGTTCCTAATAAACTGTTCCTTGTCCCTTCTTAACAAAGACCGAGTTCTGCGCACATGAGAACGGTGCAAATCTTGATCCCCTGCCAGACGAGCAGCATGACAAGCATCTGTGGCATCCAGTGTCTCCTGTGAGATAAAGTTTCGCCTTGCTCTCAGGCGTTCACCAATCGTCCTTTGAGCTGCATCAAGTGTTTCACGTTTGAAGATGTCCCACAGAAGTACAGGGTCCATCGGATTGTCGAGCGCTGTGAAACGACCAGAGACTGCCTCAGCAAACCCCCGGGCACATTTCCCCTCCCTCAGCCTGTCCAAGTGAAACAACCTGGGGTGATCATTGGTCCGCTGGGGGTTTTTGAAATGGACTTGGAGGGTAGCTACAACGAATCTATGGTCAGTACCACAGAACTCGGCACTCCTATACACCCTGCAATTCTGGAGGATCCTCCAACGAGTGCTAACGAGTATGTGGTCGATTTCCTTGGCTGCATTACCCGCATCGCTAAACCATGTCTAGTGATGTGGGTCTGGGCGCTGGTACCAGGAGCCAGAAATCCTCAATTTCTGGGACCTAGTAAAGTCCCGGAAAAGGAGGCTATTCTCACTGCCGGTATCAGCTCCCGAACCATGGAAACCAACAGACATCTCATAGCCAGCTCGATCACAGCCAGATACCGCATTGAAGTCACCCAGGACAACACGAATATCTCGCCGGGGGCACCTGTCTGACACAGACGGTAGTTTGGTGTAGAACATCTCTTTCACATCAAGTTTACAAACATCGGTAGGAGCGTACACAGCAATAAGAGACGTGAAGCCAAAAAACAGCTTCAGTCTCATTACCATTATACGCTCATTGACTGGAGTAACCTCTACTACCGAGGGCTGAAGTCTGCTGGAGATGGCCATGACTAATCCCTAGAGATGATGACCGTCGCTGCGGCCTGAGCAGTAGTAGGAGGTGAAGCCACCTACACTGATCGTTCGGCTGCCAGGTCTTCTCACCTCCGAGAGAGCAGCCACCTCCACTCTCAGCCTCCCCAGTTCCCTTGACAGCAGAGGCAACCGATCATCCTGACGCAAAGAACGGACGTTCCAAACCCCCTCCCTACCTCCCCGCCTGAGGTTTAGCCTCTGACAGTCGCTCCGGGTGGACGCCACCTCTGCCACCCCCGCCGACGCTGCTCCATATATAAGGGGACAGCAGGCTGTGGAACCCATCATCCGCCTACGGGGCTCCAGAAGGCTTTCCCCCGTAAGCTTCACTCTGGGCGGGACGAGTAGTTCTCGCTCCCAACCTGCGTCCCGGAAGTTGCCCTCCCAGCGGGATCAATAGGCCGCCTCTCTTGCTGGGTGGGAGGAGCAGTTCCCCTCCTCCCAGCAATGCCATATATATCTAACTGCCAAAGGGTTTTTTATCTGGGGGGAGGAGGACTGGCAAGGCCCACCTCCCCCGAGCCTCCAGTTAACCCCAGGGGGCCTAGGGGCAGGAGTTGGTACAGGGCCAGGGCGTGTCCACACGCCGGTGGGCCATGACCCTGTACCTCTAGGGCCTCCTGCTGCTCCGAGATCCCCCTCAGTTTAGCCTGGAACTGCAAGGTACCCAGTTTCCATGGGAGGCCACTAGGAGGCACTGCAGGGAGTCTCGATGATGGAGAGGCTATGCACTGGCAGGGGGAGGCTTATGCAGTGCTGCTCCCTTTTTCGCACGAGGCTAGCCAGCGGTGGCAGCTGTAAGAGAGAAGGCATGCAAGCTCTTAACACTAACCATTCGAACAGGGGAAAGGCTAGATCAGCAGCAACTCGAGGAGGTCATGACTTTAGTTTTTGATGACGTCACAAAAGTTGCGATTCTGTTTTTGGAAAATGTCCACTCTGCTGGCAAGAAATGTGCCAAAATGTGAATGGACAATTTTATTGCGAAATTAATGATGCTAAGCTTTCACTCAAATCAGTTATAATTGCGAAATTTGTGCATTACTGGACGAGCGATAAATATGGTCGATCATTCTGGTCTTTTCAATTTTCAAATAGGATAGAAAATGATTTTATTGGTTATATTTATGAAAATTTCCAAATAATACTCTTGTGGATGAGAAGAGCGGGCGATTATGTTTATGCATGAATGATTTCCAAGTGGGAGTCAAGCCAAAAGCCTATATTTTTTTACTCAGCTTGAAGGAATTAACTTTTACTTACTTTTATTGATACCTCCATGCACTCAATGAATGAATGAAAGCCATTGAAACTTTCACACCTGGATATTGTACATGAACATGTGCTATTCTAAAAATAGCCCGGCCTCGTATCCTACATATTAAATAAAATACCTTTCATTCATTCACTGAGTGCATGGATGTACTAATAAAAGTAGGTATACTTAATTCCTTCAAGCTGAGTAAAGAATACAGGCCTATGGCTTGACTCCCACAGCAAACAATTCTAGTTGAGAATCATTCATCATCATCATCATCAAGGGGGCTGACGCCGACAGGGGCGCACAGCCGCATCCACCCTTCGCTTCCACCTACGAGGATCCCTCATGGCTAGACGTCAGGCAGGGACTCGGGCCATCTCTATTTCTTCACGGCAGGTTTGGTCGATCTGCCCAAGCCACGACTTCAATCATTCATGCATAAGCATAATCGCTCACTCTTCTCAACCACAGGGCTATTTCGATGATTGTTCAATAAAAATATAACCAATAAAATTGTCATATTTCATCCTTTTTGAAAACTGAAAAGACCAAAGTGAATAATAAACCCCATGTGCTTTTTTTCCCGAAAGCAGAATTGGAACTTTTATGACGTCATCAAAATCTGACGT